GAATGGGGATATTTATTTGCATGTTTAAAGAAATTCGGATATGGCCCCAATTTTTTCTCGTGGATTAAACTTTTTTATACCTCTCCCAAAGTCTGTGTAATAATGAATGGTAAATGCTGACGTTATTTCCATCTGTGAAGGGGCACCCATCAGGGCTGTCCAGTCAGCCCATTGTTGTTTGCCTTGATCATAGAGCTCCTGTGTATTATTCTCAAAACTTCACCATCAATTACTTGGATCTCCGGAAGGGGAACAGAGTATAAGGCATCTCTTTATGCTATGTTTTTCTAATGTATGTGTCTGACCTTGTTTTATGTTGTCCTTATATTATCATACCCTGAGGAGGTTTGGAGCTCTCTATGGGTACAAACTAAACTTCAGTTAAAGTTAATGTTATCCTGTCTCTTCAAATACCGGATGGTGCTCTGCCTTTCCATTTGTCTAAACATGGCTTTAAATAGCTGGGCATCAGTATTACAAGGGATATGCAGAATCTTTACCAGGAAAACCTCTATCAGTCATTCGAGAAAGTTAGATTAGATCTGAAGAAATGGAAACTACTTCACCTTTCCTTGGCAGGGAAGTTGAACTGTATCCAAATGAAAGTACTTCCAAGGTTTCTTTACCTGTTTCATTGTATCCCACTGTATCTCCCCAAGTCCTTTTTAAAGTCTATTGATAAGGCTCTAATCTCATTCAAGAAGAGGCCTAATATACGGTTAGAACTGTTACAGAGGCCTATAAACTAGGTGGCCTCAAATGTTCAAAAAATAATGTACTGGCGCCACACTCCTAATGCAGACTGGTGCCAATTTGAAGCTGTGTCTTGCATCTCCACTTCTCTCAGAGCCCTGGTCACTTCTAGCCTACACGTCTCTTTCTCACAATACACTAACAATCCTATAGACATAAACACTCTTAAAATATGGGCTCAGCGTAGACGGAGCTTTGGATTTAAAAACCTTGTTCATCTGGATCCCATACACAATAATCACCTCTTCCTCCCTAATAAGGTAAATTCTGGATTTCATTTCTGGCAGAGATGTGGACTTGTACATAAATTGTACCTTTGCGAGTTTTGAAAATCATACATAACGGTGACAAGTACCACACACTGAAAAAATAAGAAGAGCACACCACCAGTAATGTATTGCTTATATAGAAAAATTTTTATTTGACATCCTGTTTTTTCCAATGCCCAGTTGTTTTTGGAGTTTAAAATTATTATGTCTCTGGACACAGATTTACGTTGAAACTACATCTACAATCTGTTGAAAAGTAAAAGGTAAAAAGCCATAACGTCTATTATGGGACTAAGTGGGACAAAATCAGACTAAGCCAAATTTTCAAAAACTATTTCTGGGCTAAATCAAGACTAAATGATGCCTGGTGTTTGGGGAGCTTAAACTTAAAATAGTTGTAACTACGGTATTTGTCTCTCACTTTTGTTAATTTCTGTATGTAGCTGTACTTTCCTAATGCAACAGCACCCAGTGCATAAGGACAACACAATGAACACCCTGTACCTTTGCTTTCTTTTAGATCGACCTGTCTATCGTGATGTAGAAATCATCTCTCCAACCAGCAAGGAGCAGTTGGCTAATAAAGGCAAGATAACAGCTTATACCATTAGTAAAGCTGTAGAGTACAACCTTAAAGTCAAGCCCTAGGCCTAACTTAAAGAAGCACAGCCATGTTCTATGCGATTGTCTGAATTTATATGCCAGTATCTCACTGTGGTTACACAGGGAGTTTTTTATGTTTTTTTTTTTCAGGATAGGTTACTAAATAAAACCTTCATAACCCGAACACCTCTCAGAATATAGCACAAACAGGGCAGTGGTTGTAGATGCCTTTCTCTGTCCTCATCTGTCTCTTTTTACGAAAACTATTCAAGCATTTGTGTTCTATATTTTATTCCTTCACTCATGCATGAATACATATACATTTTTGCTCAGTACAAATAAAATATTGTAATAAATCTTACGCTTTGAATGAAAGATGCATTGTCATACAGTTAACCTTTATGTGTTAAACAGGCATTAGCATCAAGCTGAACTGTACAGTTTATTGCGGGATTAATGCACAACGGGAATGCAAAGCCAGCTGGTACATTAATAATGAACAAGTAAACCAGATGGATGGATACAGTGAAACCACCAAATTGTAAGTTTTCACAACATGGAAACTGTAACTTCTTTGGTGAACAAAAAATCATAAAATATCCTTTTTTGGAGGTAACCAGGACACCATTAGAATATATGAAAATGTGCTATAAAACTAGAATAAAGATTTCTATGAATGCCAAAATGGGCATTTAAGTTGATTCTATAACAAGGCACTCTAGTCTCTGTATCATGTTGCATGTTAAATTAAGGAGTTGAGATGGAACTGTTTTCTTTGTTTACTTACCATTGATGTTTTTTTAACTTTTAAATGAAGCAAAGATTATTTTGTTTTTTAGAGAAATCAAGTATCCTTCGAACAACACCTTCTACACTGCAATCCTGACCATCAAACAGGTTTCAGCAGAAGATTTTAAGCACAAGTTTATGTGTAAAGGCTCTGGATTTTATTCCGCAAATAATACAACTGTAACCCTCAAGCAGAGAGGTTAGTGTGGTAATGCCTTCTTCTTGGTTTTCTCCAACTTTTCTTGCATGTTATCTGACTCATCTCACTGGAGATATTGATCGTTCCACTCTGTTAATATTGCTGTAGGAGGTATTCTGATGACTCAGCATCAACAACTAATTGCAATTCTAAGAGTGTTTTTGTAGAATTTGTTATGATTATTGTTCAAACCTTTTTTTTTCTCTCTCTTTCAGAGTCGTGCATTCCCCTCATTATAACAGGAATATGTGTGTTTTTTATTGGTGTGTCTGCTGCTGCAGTGGTGAAATACTTTGCCATTGATCTGGCTCTGTTGTTCAGGCCCTGCTTATCACCAAGTAGAGGTAATAATGGTACAACATGTTAACTATGTCAACTAAGATGAAATTAAGGTATTCATGTTTGGTTTACCATCACATAAAAGGCAATGCTCTTAATAAATTAGCTGAAATGAAATCACACAGCAGTATTTTGTTACATGTAGCTGACCAATCTTAAATATTGTTCAGGGCCTTTTGGCACAGATTGTATGGCAGCCTCATTTCTGTCAGTCTGCCCCAAGACAGCTGTGGCTATATATTGGTAAACCATAGCTTACCACCATCTGTGAATGTGTGTGGGACTTGATGAATGACTGAACATAGGCTTAGTGTGGATTTCACAAAATGATATACAAGTATAGGCCATTTACTATATGTCATTTACAACAAAATAAACAATCTACATTGTTAGAAAGCAAAATGTTGCAGGGAAAAAATGGCACCTAAGCCCTAAATACTAGGTTGAAATTGGAGAGTTTATTGAAACAAAAGAGTATGATTATGTTTGGCACTCAGAACCTGGCAGAGGACGTAGAGCTCAGCACAGTATACAGGCTCCGAGCCAGCTCCCATGTTAAAGGATGAAAGAGAGCACTTACAGTTAGCGATAGTAAAAGTCACAGCCAAACAGATGAAGCTACTATAATTAGAAAAAGCAGGAAGAGCATAAACCTGAGGTTGAACTTAAAAATCCTGCAAAATAGGAGAATACAGCTAGAATGAAGTAGACTGTCCCCCAGCAGTCTAAGCGTATAGCAGCATTATTATAGAGATAGCTCAGAATAACCTTAGCCACCATTAGCTTTATCAAAAAGCAAAGTTTTAAGCCTAGCCTTAAAATAGACAGGATGTCTTCCTCACAGACTAAAATTGGTAGTTAGTTTCACAGGAGAGGAACCTGATAACTACAATATTTGCCTCCCATTCTACTTTTACATCAAGATCAATATCTTCTGATGAATTTTCATATTAGCAGGGGTAGAATATTGCAATATGTTATGATATTGAAACATTGTGATAATATTGTATTGTTATTCAAGGTTTATGTTTTAGCTTTTATTGAAAAAATAACCCAACTGATTATTTTTCATGTATTGTTCATGCCGTTACATTTCTTGCATTTTAACACAGCAGGTTACTACAACTTGATCAATCAAAGTGGCTTTTCATAGGCACACTCTGCATTGAGGAGAGGTTTTTACTGCAGGGGTGAACAGGAAGCTAAGATGCTTTTATATGATAGTGATTTGCTGAGGGGAGCTGAGACAGGGGTATGCGTGATGTTGCCTGGCTGAGGAGCTGTAATCTGAGCGGATGTTATGGGTGACTTCAACACTGATTAAGAGGAGATATGATGGTGCAGAGCCACTGATTCAGATACGGGGTTCCTAAATAAAAGCCATTGTTAAAGTTAAAGGCTAAATGTTCCCATGATTTGCTCATGTGTGGGAACAAAGACTTTATAAACATATGTCGGTTATTAGCAGCTCTTCTCACTTCTCACATTCTCTTTACTGACATCAACAATGACTGATTGCTGTGTAGTATTTTTATAGCTTTGGGGGTGAGGGTGTCAGAGTTAGAGTCCCAGCTTCAGAGTGTTAAACATCCAGGAGTTAAAAAAGACCCACTAGTTAGCAGTCTGGAATCACCCAGAACAGGAACACATCCACATAATGGTCCTGAAACAGGTCTTGAACAGTCACTGGATGACGCAGAATGCATAGTCCTAAAGACAACAGATAAGTACCTGATAGGAAACCAAATAAAACAAAGGAAGTCTATAAGAGCA